CGAGGGGCCGGGGAAGGTGGCTGGGCGCTGGGGGGCGGGGGGAAGGCGGGCGAGGGGCCGGGGAAGGTGGCTGGGCGCTGGGGGGCGGGGGGAAGGCGGGCGAGGGGCCGGGGAAGGTGGCTGGGCGCTGGGGGGCGGGGGGAAGGCGGGCGAGGGGCCGGGGAAGGTGGCTGGGCGCTGGGGGGCGGGGGGAAGGCGGGCGAGGGGCCGGGGAAGGTGGCTGGGCGCTGGGGGGCGGGGGGAAGGCGGGCGAGGGGCCGGGGAAGGTGGCTGGGCGCTGGGGGGCGGGGGGAAGGCAGGCGAGGGGCCGGGGAAGGTGGCTGGGTGCTGGGGGGCGGGGGGAAGGTGGGCGAGGGGCCGGGGAAGGTGGCTGGGCACTGGGGGGGCCAGGGAGGGTGGCCGGGGAAGGCGGGCGTGGGGCCGGGGAAGGTGGCCAGGCGCTGGTGCGGACATTTCCTCTGCGCTGGTCAGTTCCCCCTTTCCCCTTTTCACGGTGGATGATTTTGCTTGGCCAGACCGAGGCTGAGCTCTCTGGGAGCGTGCTAAGGGAGATGGTTATTGCGTTGCATGCGATTACAAGGGACTGTACATCACTGGATTCTCCAGGGACTCTCCCTGGGAGACGGAGGGGGAGTCGGATCCTGAGTCCCAGCAGTGCACTGTGATGTCAGAGCCAGGAAGTCTCTCTCCTGCGTTAGAATAGAGTCTGCCCCGGGCAGCGTTGTCTGATGCTGCTCTAGGCTGGGGGCACAGAGGGCCCTTCTCTCCCTCAGTGTTCATGGAGGGTCCTTGCCCTGATGGTGTCTCCTTGCCCCCCAGGTTCTGAACAATGGCCGTGTGGATCCAGGCCCAGCAGCTGCAGGGAGAGGCCCTGCGCCAGATGCAGGCGCTGTACGGCCAGCACTTCCCCATCGAGGTGCGGCATTACCTGTCGCAGTGGATCGAGAGCCAAGCATGGTAGGTGAGCCCGCCCCGTGGCTGCCAGACACGCTCCAGCCGGTCCTTTGGGCCTTGGCTGCCAGGTGCCCTGACAAACCTGTGTCTAAGGGGCTGGAAATGGGGCCGTGGGCTTGGCCACACCGACCCGCTAGCTCCCGTCACCATGTCTGTGGGGGATCCCTGCCGAGCGCTACTCTCCAGAGGCCACGGCACATAGACCAGCTGCACAGCCACCTCTCGCCTGTCTCCAGGCAGGGCCAAGGCACGGGGGGGGGACGGGACTCAGAGCTGGGAGGAGGCGGAAGGTTAAGGCTTTGCGGGGTCCCCTGGGCTGTTGGGCAGTCCTGGGATCTGACAGCGCCACAGCTGAGTGGAGCCTGGCCTAGCAGTTAGAGCTGAGCCTGGGGACTCTTGGGTCCGGCCCTCCTCCTCCCTGTCCCACCACCTGTTCTCTGGGGCCTTGGCCAGTCGCTACTATGCTCCGGGCCTCACTTTCCCCTTACCCACCCCAACGAAAGCCAGAGCCCTCCCTGTCTGTGACCCACACGTCTGGCCTGGGGGCATGGCTGCAATGGGGGGCTGGCACTGCTGGGGGGCAGGCTCGGGGCGGGGCTTTGCTCCCATTCGCTCTGGGCTTTGTGTGGCGGGTTGGCTGGATCGTCCCAGTTTGCTGAGGGACGGACACACGGGGGGCCTCACTGGCTGGGGGTTGGGTTCCCCCAGCAGATACAGTCCCTGCGCCGAGCTGGGGCGGGCAGGTCGGGCCCCAGCTGAGCCCTGCCCCCCCTTCTCTCTCTGTGCCAGGGACTCCATCGACCTCGATAACCCCCAGGAGAACCTCAAAGCCACCCAGCTGCTGGAGGGGCTGATCCAGGAGCTGCAGAAGAAGGCGGATCACCAAGTGGGCGAGGACGGGTTCTTGCTGAAGATCAAGCTGGGGCACTATGCCACGCAGCTGCAGGTCGGTGCCCGGAGCTGCAATGGGGCAGCCTTGCCCCTCGTGCCCTGCCAGGGGTCAGCCACTCCCGCTGGGCGCTCCCCCATGGGCTGGCCAAGCCTGGCGTGGAGCAAGGGGCTGAGACAGCAGCAGAGTGCGTGATGGCAGGTGCTGTCTCTCCCCTCCCTCACCGCGTGGGGCCAGCGCATCCCTGAGCCCCCTCCGCTGCTGCCCCGAGCTCCCTCCCCTGCCATGTCGCAGGCCCACCAGCCGCTGCCGTCCCCCGCGGGCTCCTTGTCTGGCCATGGGGAGCTGCCGTCCTGGCATGGGCCGGCTGGGGTGACCCCCATCCTCACCCACATGCCCTGGGAGCGGGGATGCCGGCAGGGTAGGTTAGGGCAGGAGCAGCCCCCCCGCCCAGTGCCCTTGGGACCCCCTTTGCCCCCATCCTGGGGCGGTGAGAGTCCCTGACTAGCCCCGCTCTGGGCCTTTGCTTTCCCCCCTGCAGAACACGTACGACCGGTGCCCCATGGAGCTGGTGCGCTGCATCCGCCACATCCTGTACCACGAGCAGCGGCTGGTTCGGGAGGCCACTAACGTGAGTAGCCAGGCAGGGGGGCCTTGTCTCGCTCCCCCGTCTCTCTGGGGCCCCGGGGACACTGCCCCAGCCCAGCCACGGGCACCTCACCCTGTGCCCCCTCACCCCACCCTGTGCCCGTGGCTCCAGCCACTGCCCCACAGCGTGAGCCTCGGCCTCTGTGCTCCGTCGCTGCCCCCCATGGCAGTCCCCGAGGCCCTGTCTCTCCCTGACCTGACGCCCCCCCTCTGTAGAGCCCCTCCCCAGCCAGCAGCCTGGCGGACGCCATGTCCCAGAAGCACCTGCAGATCAACCAGACCTTCGAGGAGCTGCGTCTCGTCACCCAGGACACGGAGAACGAGCTGAAGAAGCTGCAGCAGACGCAGGAGTATTTCATCATCCAGTACCAGGAGAACATGCGCCTGCAAGGTGCGGGTGGGGGGGCTCTAGCCATGGGGAGAGGGAGGGGCCGTGGGGATGGGCTGATGGGGGCAGGGACCCGCAGAGCAGAGGCAGCTTCGCCCTGAGATCCCGTCCTCGGGGAGACACCGGCCCGTGCCAGCAAACGTCCCAAAGCACTTGCCCCGTCCCAGCTGCCGAGGGGGCGCCAGGCGCTGGGGTCCGGCGGGGGGCTGCAGCTGGCGCAGAATGCTGCCTGTGCAGCTCCGTGCCTCGCACCCCCTGCTGGCCACTCCGCCCTGGGACCAGGGGTGTCTGGGGGGGTCTCAGCCCTCCTCCCCCCCCAGCACGGGGGAGACTCTGCCGTAGCATCTGGGGGCTGGGGCATCGTCTCACCCACCCTCCGCGCCCCCGTGAGGAGGCTGCAGGTATCTGAGCACCCACGGGACGGTTCCCCTCCCTTCACAGTCCCATGGGAGTCCCCAGCTCAGCACTGTCCCACCGGCTCCGTGGGGCTGGGGAGCAAGTCCCGAGTCCCACCCCTCCCCCCCAGGGGCAGGCCTGGTGCAGCAAACCATAACCTTGTCTTAGACACCTCATTTGACCCCCTTTATACAAGATTTGGTGCCACTACAGGACCATGGTTGCAACAACGATCTATATGGACCCAGATTATATCAATAACGTCACCTGCCCCCCCCAGGGGTAGGCCTGGTGCAGGGGTTCTGGGGATGCTGCTGAGGGTCGGGGAGCCCCCGGGGCAGGCGGGGCTCAGGCCTAACGCTCTTGGCCTCCTCCCCAGCCCAGTTCTCCCAGCTCTCCCAACTGGGCCCCCAGGAGCGCATGTCCCGCGAGACGACGCTGCAGCAGAAGAAGGCGTCGCTGGAGGCCTGGCTGCACCGGGAGGCCCAGACACTACAGCAGTACCGAGTGGTGAGCGCCAGCCCCGGGGGGACCCAACTCCTCTCCCCGGTGCCAGCAGGGGGTGGTGATGCCCCCATGCGGTGCTGCTGCTTGCCCCGTCCCACGCTAACACCCCGTCCCCTCGCAGGAGCTGGCGGAGAAGCACCAGAAAACCCTGCAGCTGCTGCGCAAGCAACAGACGACCATCCTGGACGACGAGCTGATCCAGTGGAAGCGGCGGCAGCAGCTGGCGGGGAACGGCGGGCCCCCTGAGGGCACCCTGGACGTGCTGCAGTCCTGGTACGTCCGCCCCTCCTGGCGCTGCCCCGTGGGAAACGGGGGCTGGGCACCCGGGAGCTGCCGCTTGGCCCCTGGGCGGTTGGCTGGGAAACCAGGGAACGGTGCCGCCGGCAGCAGGGAATCCAGGGGGGCTGCTCTGGGTCCCAAGAGACCCCCCCGGGGGGTGACCCTGGCGGGTGACGCTGCCCCTGCTGGGGTTGTTAGTCCAGGGCACTAGGGGTCACCTGCCCCCATCGCCAGGAACGTGGGACTGGATTCCTGGGGTGGCTGAGCTCCCCACAGGGCGAGGCTAAGGCCGGACCGCGACGGCCTGGGGGGACCCCGAGGGGGGCGCGCAGACCGGGAGCCCCATGACCAGCAGACACGGGACACCCAGGCCTGGGGCTCCGTGATGTCCCTGGGCCTTGCCAGAGCACTGACCTGGCCCGGGGACCCCTCGCCCCAGGTGTGAGAAGCTGGCTGAGATCATCTGGCAGAACCGGCAGCAGATCCGTCGGGCCGAGCACCTGTGCCAGCAGCTGCCCATCCCGGGGCCCGTGGAGGAGATGCTGTCCGAGCTCAACGGCACCATCACAGACATCATCTCCGCCCTGGTGACCAGGTACCGCTGGGGGCAGAGCCGGGCTGGGCCCCGATTGGGTCTGGGCATGTCTGCCCCATGTGCACTGGGGTGACAGAGCTGGGCTGGGCCGGGCTGCCCCACACAGGCTGGGGGACCGAGGCTGAACTTGGGGCACGGTTGGGACGAGGTTCAGGCTCTGACCTGGGCAGGTAGGAATTGGGCTGCGAGGGGCCAGGGGCCGGCTGGATCGGGGGGTGGGGATGCTGCCGGCACTGCGGGGCGGGTGGCAAGAGAAAGGGGCTCGTGGCGCAAGTGCTTTGGGCGGGAGGGGATACGGCCTGGGGACTGGGAAGGGGGATCTGGGTGCAGGGGCTGTGAGCTGGGGTGGGGATGTGCCGGGTCGTCCCCCCGCCCCCGCGCACGTCTGGCGGTCGTAGCTCCGGCCCCCGGCCCCATCTCACAGCCGCAGGCCCCGTGACGCCGGCTCCTCCCCCCAGCACCTTCATCATCGAGAAGCAGCCCCCCCAGGTGCTGAAGACGCAGACCAAGTTCGCGGCCACGGTGCGGCTGCTGGTGGGGGGGAAGCTGAACGTGCACATGAACCCGCCCCAGGTGAAGGCCACCATCATCAGCGAGCAGCAAGCCAAGGCCCTGCTGAAGAACGAAAGCACCCGCAAGTAATGCCCCCCCC